GATCACTTTTCCCAGAGAAGCCAGCGAGGCAGCACATTTCTCAGCCTGGATGGTGAGAAGCAAAAGAGTTTTTTCCTAAACTTCAGCATTTAAGGAACTTGCAGGCAAATCAGCCAAGTGTCACTTGTCCTCAGTGTTTGTGATGACATTGTTCCACATCCCATGGAAGCATCCAAGTGATCTTGTGGTAAAGGAACCTTCAGACAAGGCCAAAATTTTGACTGCTAATAAGTTCATCTTCGTTTCCAGACTGATGACCATTTGCAGTCTCACTGCCTGTGTGTTCTTGCTGGTTTATTTCTCTGCTTAGCTCACTTGGCTACACAGGCTCCGTGACACCACAGGGGTGATCCAGGAGAGTCTGCCAAAGCCTACAAATCAGATATCACATTAAAACTTGTTTCTGATCACCAGCTTTAGGATGCTGCATGTCTTTAAGCCTGTGCCCTAAAGGCTTAGGGGTGTTTCAGTCAGAGGGCAGTATTTATAGGTCCTCAACATTTTCATTCCTAAATAAATATGTGCTTTTGGAACTAATTTGAGAATTCATAGTTACTTCCTTATTTAAAAAAGGAAAATATTGGGTAGAATAAGCACGTGTGCTTTAAAGGTAACTACAGCAAATATAAGGTGGAGACTTAACAAAATATGAAATTTTGCTCAGCTGTTCTATTGAAAGCTCAAATGACAGCTTGAAAGAGTCCCACAGCTTTTCTTCCCTCCTTCTTGATGATTCTTAATTAACAATTATATAAGTAGTAAAAAGTTCAATAGGAAAACCAAATCATCAACAGCTTCCCAAAAGTAATTGCTGATTTGGCTGTAGTCCTATTCCTTTTCTGCAAGATCTTCAGCAGACAGAAAGACTATTGGTTAAAGATAAATAAATATTAGTGAATAAATCATTACTTGTCTGAGTACAGTTTACACTTGCAGAGCAGCAATCCTGTCAGGTTCCTGACCTGCTCACTTCCTAGAGGTAACTACAATCTTATTGGCTAGATTAGTAAAGCAATAGTATCTGTGCAGGAGCAGGCATCTGCATATGCAGATAATTCAAATGCTCTCAGGCTTATCCATGCTAGTAGTGCAGTCATGATTTTGCATATTATAATTATTTATCCATCAATTGGCTGAAGGCAAGAGAAACCAGGAGTGTAGAAAAGAGGAGTGATGTGAAGTCCAGCAAAGCCAAGTGGCCAGCTGCTCTCAGTGTGAGTGCCAGCACCTCTGCAATAGGCAGATGGAGAGGAGAAATATTCTAGCAGAAAGGACTGGGAGGGGGGGAGGGAAGGAGGGACCTCATTACACAGATGACATCTAGAGAGAAGCAGGTTGCTTCTGCAATTATGTCCCTCATCAGAAAGGACTGTAAAAGCATCTTATTTCCCTCCACATCTGCTTTCTGACAGGTGACAGAAGCAGTAGCACCTCTGTCAGGGAGTGCTCCTGTGCACTGCCAGGAATACAAAAGACCCACACCCTTGTTACCCTGGTAGGATATTGCTATTGACATTTCCCTGACACACACCCTGTATTAATGCTGCTTCTGCTGCCAACAGCCCATGCTCCCCTTCTGCTACTGCATTCCACACAAATTTCCAGCTGAGCAATGTCTTTGTGTCTAAGTGCCTCCAGGATTTGATCCTTTGAAGATCAAATGTTTCTCCCCAGTCCAGTCCAGGAGATCATATTTTTCTCTTTCCTCTAATTACAGTGAGAGAAGTTCTGTTTTGGAAATCCAACTTCAGACATGAATGTGCCTAACTCCTGAAGTTGCTGGTTGAAAACGTTTGGAAGAGATAAACCATTTATGAGCCATCATTCAAGAATCCACAGTTTATTATTAGTCTTGGGTGATATTTTTCAAGTACCAGCATAATAGATCTCATATAAAAATAATATGTGGTAGACATATAAAGTAAAATCAAAGCTACCTGCATGTTAACAAAAGGGAGATGTGGTATCAGCATATCTTCTCCCATTTTTAATTAGTATATAGCCAACAACACACTGTACTGAAAATTTATTCCCATTCCCAAGGCCTGTTAAGCTTCACCCAGAGATGGATTAGAACCTAAGAGAGCAATTTAGACCAGAAACATGTATCTTCTACTGTTACTCATATTGGCAACATTCCATAGTGTAAATGTCTTTTGTTATTCCTGAAACTGGTTGATTACAGCATAAAGTGAAGCACAGCTTCCTAGGAAACCTGCAAAATCGCATTGCTCTGAAAATGGCCAACGGGAGGCTGGTTAACACACACAGCAGGCAATCTAGGTAAAGTAATTAACAATTTGCATAGTGATGATGTCATCAGCTGCAGTCTGAGGGTTGGTTCTGGGGCCATGAAGCTCATTAAGAGATCTCCCTCTCATGCAGAGAGCAAGTCGCTCCCAAAAGTGAAGGAGACAAGGAAGCAAAGAGGAATTCACAAAGTCCAGTGTTGGGTGGCCACGATACAGCAGTGTATTGTGGGGTATGAAAGTCAACCTTTTTTTAAAAAAAAAAATCAAATCTCTTCTAAAGCATGTTCCTTGTTCAACACGGTTAATCTCTTCTCTAACATAGATTGAGAAGAAATGATGACGAACAAACGCCACAGCCCGGGTACAGCCCTTGGAACTCTGTGCAGAGCAGAGCAATGAGCCATTTCGATGCCAAATGGTGTAAATCACTAATTTTAGGGGCAAAAAAAATAAATCAGTGGCAGGTGGAAGGGGCGCAGCGCTTGCCTGTTTCAGCCTGGGAGCAGTGACTTTTTCTCCCTCTGTCCCCGTTTGTGCACATTCCAGGGATCACACCGAAGTTTCGGCGTGACCCGGAGCCTTCCCCGCATCCCGGCCCGCCCGGAGCATCCCTGCCTGCCGGGGGGCGGGAGCAGAGGGGAGTTCCCCCCCGCACCGCCTCCAGCGCTGCCGGGCTCACACGGGGAGACCAGAGGTGCCGCCTCCTCCTCTTCTTCCTCCTCCTCCTCCCGGCTTGCTGCGTGAGGCTGGACGGGCACCGGGAGCTGGGACCGGGAGCTGGAACCGGGCTGGGCTGTGGGGTCTGAGAGAGGGGGGCTGGGGGCTGAGAGAGGGGGGG